CCCCAAAACCCCAAAACCCCAAAACCCCAAAACCCCAAAACCCCATAAATAACTTTAAAATTGAATAATTACAAATGCCAAGCAAAGTGTCCACTTCACATAAACAAACGAGTGAGTGAGGTGGTTACTATTTGCTCTACACTGGAACCTCCTAATTCATTTTAACATAACTTTTTTAGTTGAGAAGAAATATGAATACACCTCATTAGGAACAACTAAAAGAATTGCCAGTGAAAAAGTTCAAAATGGTAAATATGATATCTTAAAATTTAGGGATCTCAAAATGTTATACGCATATTTTAAGACTCATGGAGGATCATGAAGCTTATTCCAGCAAATTACAGGCAGAGAAACAAAATGAAATAAAGCTCAATGCTAAAATTGAGGTTAGTATGAACATATTTTAGCCAAAAGTTGTTTTCTGCTTTCTACGATAATTAAATTAGTCTTGAAGTTTCAAATATTTTCTATGGCTTTATTTAGCATACTTCTAAAGAGTTAAAGAAGAAATACAACAAGAATTACTTGAGTTAGTTAAAGTAATAGAAATCGACTTTAGAAATCATAAAAACTCAAATCTCTTCTTTTAGTTAAAAGCGTAGAATGGGTCTTCTTCAAATTTTATGAATTTTCTCTCTAAACGAATCAAAACTTGACTAAACCCTAATTTCAAAAACTCTTGACCAAATCTAGGATCTAAGAAGAGTAATCCCAATCTTCGAATCCAGCTATTTCACAACCTGTCGTCTCCAGCACCTTACCAAAAGCGATGGGGAGACTCTCTCTGACTCATGACAAGAAGAGCTTGCTCCATTACTTAAATTCGATTGCGACATATTCCTCTCTCAAAGGAACATTCATGTGAAGGCGATTAAGAACTCTGAGGAGGAGATACTAACCTTGCAGTCGAAGCAGAGGGTACTCCAGTCAAATCTGACTCGTATTGGTGAGGACATTTGCTACTTCAAGTCCATGTACCAACACTATAATTCTTTGAAGAATGATCTTGAAATGGGCTGGATTTCAGGCGACAAGGTTATTTCTCTGATTGATCATAAGGAAAATGAGGACTTTTGTTCTTAGGCAAAGTAGAATGAGTAAGAAGTTTGGAGTGGGTGGCGTCTTTGGGGGTTTTGGTGGGAAGGCCGAGGTTGGGTGGTTGCATTTTGATGTATAGAGTCGAAAGGATGACTAATGATAGGAATGAGGTCTTGAAGTGAGAGTTTTGAGAGGCTTTTTACTGATTTTCAGAGATATTCTTACTAATAATGTGCAAACAATGGAAGGGTTATATTGGGGTTTTGGGGTTTTGGGGTTTTGGGGTTTTGGGG